TTGCACCAAATTGCAGACATTCATATTTTCTTAGACCAGTGGTTTTTCCAGAAGTCGTATGACTTTCTAGTAGTGGCAAACATCTGTAGCTCAGGTATACGACGATGGTGAAGGTTCATTCTCAGAGCTTGTGAGTTGGTTTCCAAACATTTCATTATTAGGTTAGGTAACATCTTCAGCAGAGTTTAGGGAATGTCAGTGTTCTTCTGTTTATAAGGGCTTCAGATGTGGATGTGTCAAGTGAGGGTCCTGTGATGGGTCAGCTGTGAGTCATCAGTGAGTTTTGTGACGGGTCTTGTGATAGGGAGATTGCATCAGGTCAGGGTCATTGGGAGGTGAACTGCTAGTGGAGGGGATTGTGGGTGTTTGTTGAGAGTCAGTGCTCTCTTTGGTTGGTTATGTAGGTGTGTAGGCTGGTTATAGGTTAATGTATCTGTTGATGGAATTGCTTGTGGAGTGCCAGGCTTCAATGAACTCACAATCATGGCAAGTGGTAGTGCGGCTGATGATTTTTGTGTTGCTCCAATCAAACTGGTGCTGTTTGATGTCAGTGTGGGTAAAGCTGTATGACTTCCTCCAGTAATAGTGTGAAAAGATTAGATGGAATGATTTCCATTCCTAGCTTGGGAAAAAGTCTACAAATAGAAAAGCAAATCAAGATGTCTTTTGGCCATTCCATTAGATCCAACACAAGAGGCATGCTCCAGGTCCTATCAGTGAAATATCTGGTGAGATTTAGGAGTGAAGCAGTTGGTGAGATTTCTGTCATGGAACAGGCTCCTCCTGAGATTTGCATGACTCCATGCAAATGAAGTGGTCTTTTGTAAGTGTTTGAAGGTATGAATTTCTCCTCAGTTACTGATTTTGGGATGTTAATAGTAGATGCATGTGAGAAATGTTGGTAAAGTGTTTCTATAGTGGCTTTGACTTGTTTCTTTTAAATTATAGTGTATTGTATTCTAATAATTGTTTGCTACCCATTAGTAAATAAACAGTTACATACATTTATAAAATAAGTAAATAAAGAAATAATTCTGTTTCTCCCAGCATTGTCAACAAAAATTATGCAAATAAATATTTTTCTCAGAAAAAAAATGGATTCAATGATTTCAGATGGTCTTCTCAAAATGTATTTGGGACTGGCTCCAGTCCTTTCTGTTCAACTTCCATTCCAGCTAGGACACAAATTATATTACCCACAAAGCGTATAAAAATATTTTTAGAAAATGCCTCCTAAATGTTTGTGATTCGTACATTTAATTGGATAGAGTACAAAGTGAAATCCAAATTTGAAACTACATTTCAAAGAGTTATTTGAAAAACAAATGGCAGAGGGGTATCTCCATTATTCTGCAAAAACAACAGAACAAAATACATCAAGTTCCTCCCCCTCCCCTTTGTGTCTCCTTAAAACTAACTAAAGTACAAGCTTTCATGTATTATTATAGCTCTTGAAGCATATGCCATAGTAAACTGCTCAACTTTAAGGTATTACAATGCACTTCTTTACATTCAAAGGATTAGAGAAAGGTGAACATTTGTTTATACAGTCCTATGTGTACATTGGAAACATTTTCATACTTCATTTCCATAAGCTAAATTTGTGTTTTTCATCATCTTAAAGTCAATGCCATTTAATAGTCATATCTTTGATTTGCTTATCTAATATTTATTATATATTTATCATTGCATATTTATCTTTACATATTTAACCATGCTTTGAATACACATTTGACACCTCTATATCCTAATCCAAGAATAGGCAATTTGATACCATTCTAATTGTTGAGTTACACCTGGAAAATGATTATGGGAGTTATAAAACATCAAGTTACTTGTATCTGTAATTTGTCTTAATTCATATACTTGTGAGTTTTGCCACTTGATCTGCATCTTAGAGAAGGTGCAGTGATTTTAGAAAAACCAAATGAAAATTCAAATTGAGATTTCCTCATCCTAGGAAAAGTGGCATCAGCTCAACTTTGTTTAAAGCAAATTATAAACAAGATTTTACTATGCCATTTTTTCAATGCATCAGAGTATTTTAAATATCCAAATAATGATTAATAATATAGCTGCCAACAGTAAGAAAAGTACCATTTCATTTCACAGTCTTTCAATCAAATATATCTAATAGCCCTAATTTTGGTGGACATCTTATTTCCTTCATCAAAATATTCAGTTAATCAAAAACTTTTTTAAAAAAAGAGCTGATACTTTTTCACACTTTGACCAAAGTGATAGAATGTTCCCTCCTATTAACAACCCTTCTTATGTTACTCTGGACCATTATGAGACAAATGTGCTATTATTTATGGGGATTAAATGACTCCCCTGCAAAATCCTCAGATGTAATTTCTGCCTATTAATTTCTCAAAGTTTGTTAACAGGTAATTTGAAATTTTCATTACCTGCCTAGTATATGAAATTGATTTTATTGGAAGACATAAAAATAGTCTTTTATATCCTAACTGTTGTTCTCTTTCCTCTTTATGAGGAGGTAAGGGATTCTTATAAAAATCTCTTAACTACATAAATACCGTTCTACATTTTTATCTGCCCATTTCTGTGTTATCTGCAAGAGTCAAGGGTTTCATAGGTTAGGGTTATAAGTGCCTCATAACTCTTCCTACAGATCCAGATCATAACTTGTATAAATTCATTAAAATAAGTTTGATTTTATTCACTTTAAATAGATTTTTGAAGAAAACAATTGGCTTGTGTTCAAATTTTGTAAATTTTCACACTCTGCCTGCTATTTTGACTGGTCTTTCAAGGTGAATGTGATGATTTGTTTTAGTTGCTCAGCCCCATTTTAAACATGAAACACACCATCTGCAATCTTCCCATTATCCAAGATATATAGAGAATTTTTCTATTGATTTTTGAACATCCTTGTTTAGTATTCTCAATAAAATTTTAAGAAATGGACACTAGAGGAAACTAAAGGGAATTAAAGATTACAAACTTGACTTACAAATACAAAATAAAGCAAAATATTTTAACAATAGACTTATTGAAGGACATTTTAAAAATGGACTCAACCATTTATTTTAGTAGTGCTGACAGAGACATATTCCTGTATGGAGAGACTATGTCCAAAAATGTTATGGAAGAGGAACAACTTCTACCTGACAAGATAATGACTAAGCTGAAAGTGGATTTATAAATGACTGACTATAACAATGACATACAAAAGTCTGTTACACTGGAACTACAAAAGAAACTAATTGATATCTTAATAATTAAAAAGAATGTACAAACAATAAACCAACAGAAAGACCTGGATGATTTTTCCCCTGTTTGATTTACAGAAGAGATTTCTTGAAGTTTTGAAGAACATCATGCAAAGGAAAGAAATCAAAAAATGAAAAGGAATGAAGTTCCACTGCAGTATTTGAATAAACTAAAGATTAAGATTGTTAGCAGTAAAAGGAGGAAATATAAGATTGATTTATTTGATCAAGGTTAAAATATACATATTATATCTTGCGTAACCCATAATGGACCTTTGCTGATACAGGAGTTAAATGATGATACTTTATAGATTGTTTATAGATAAGAGATGGAATATGGGAAGAAGAGATCACTTGCTGCATTTTAAGAGTAGGTGATAAGTTACCAAATAGTTCATAGTTGTAATGAAAGTGGGAAATTACTTCTTCACATATTTTTCATTTCATTTCTTTTCATTTCATTTTTTTACTATACTTTAATTTTTTCTTTCTTTTCTGTTTCTATTTTTCATTTTCTCATCTTTCCCCATTTTTCTTTGTTTCCTGTACTTTCTATTTTTTTCTTTTATTTTTTTCTTTTATTAGTTTTTTTACTGTTGTATTTATAATTTTTAATAAAATTACTACAAAAAATACATGCACTGTTATTTATTAGTTATTAAATTATCCATTGTAATATATAATAATATTTATACTTAATAAATACATATAAATAAATTAATAAAATAAACAATGAATAAATATTAATAAATAAATATAAATAAAAATGTTATTTTGAGAAAAGAAGAATGTGTGGATAATATGTAGAGACTAATAGAACAGAAAACAAAGAATTGGAGAAAGTCCCAAAGAATCAAGTTTATAGTTTTGAAATTTTGATAGTTTTGAAAATCAAAAATGAAAGATTATGGCATAATCTGGCCAAGATGGTCCCAGTGGTTATCAGCATACTGGGACCCTTACTAAAGGATCTTGGATGACAAGATTTGCACATTGATAGTATTTCTATTTGTCAATTACTAAAGATCACATTGTTTGCATCTGCACATATACTATGACATTACATTACAACATACTAGATTCTTGTGAAGAATTCAAGGCATATGAATGCCAGCACCAGTTAAAGAACTGGCAATTGTGACTTCACATTTTTGTATCTATAATAATAATGTGAAAAGCTCTTTACTGGGGAATCCATTGCTTGAATAATATAATAATAATGTGAAAAGCTCTTTACAGGGGAATCCATTGCTTGAATAAAAACATACTTGGTAGAGTCAGCATATTTGAAGGTATTATGGGCATTTTCTCGGTGCTAGATTTTTTTCCCAAGTTCTATGAAATAAAATATGATGATGATAATAAATGTAAATGTCAAAAGTTATTGAATTTAAAAACTGCATTTTTGTCATGGGAAATTTCAATGCCTTTTTTTTTTTTTTTAGAAAAAGGAGATATTATAGCAGGTGACTAGGCAAATCAAATATAAATACAGTCAAATAGAATGAATAAAATGATTTTAAATTTGAGAAACTATTGGATATAGTGGATTAGATAACATAAAAATAACTTGTTTTAAATATTGCCATCATGAATCTCTAGATATGTTTGGTTGAATAAACATGTGTGAAAATATGGTAAATAAAATAAGAATTTCCAGTCAAAGAAATATAATACTTTTGCTAAGATGTAAACACCATTATATCAGAGCAGAAATCATTTTGTAGCACATAAGAGAATTCCACTTAAAACAAGAATCAGTTACACTTTTATTAAAATTATTTGAATGCGTGTAGCATGAACCTATTAAAACTGTCTTAGAAAGTCATATTGTGATTAACAGCGCACAGCTCTTAAATCTGTAAGGGATTGCAACTTGACTCTAAGGATAATTTTAAATTAGTTTTGTGTTTGTATTGATTTCTCAAATATATGCTTTGCAATATTTGGTTTATGATAAGATCATCTAAGATTATGCAGTTTTGATAAGCAATTAGGTCTCTGGAAACGAAGTGCTGAAACACAATCAAACCAATATAAGATTAGGAATATAAATTTATTGGTTACACTGTGGTTGATGGGAACTTAGTTCAGCAAACCTGAATGGCTGCAACTTGGAAGATTATTCTATATCAGAGAATAACACAATCAACAACTTTCTTTTGAAACTCGGAGAAATGAGTAGCCTAAAAAAGGAAATGAGAATTAAATCCAAAATCTTTTTACTTGCAGTATTTTATTAAATGCATCAATGATCAAAAGTATACGTAGTATTTAAGGATAAAACCCCAGTTATGACCTACATGCATCAACCTTGCCTTGCTATATTTTTAAACAAAGAATTAACAAAGGTTACAATTTCTGTACAAGCAAGAAACATGCAAGTTCTATGAATATTTGGGCAAAGTCTTACCTGTATTCAGAAAATAGTATTATCAGATTAGCAATACATGATCATGGTCATCCACTAAGACAAAAGGAGGATAAGAAGAAAAAAGAGACCACTAATTAACATTTTCAATTTTAAGAAGGGTAAAATATATGTAGACAATAAAACAGCAAGAACATACAATCCTATTTTCATTTTGGAGCTGAGATTTATTTGATGGAATGTTGGTAGAAATGAATTCCTTCAAATCTGTTAATTGTGAAAATGTTCAAATTTTTTCTGGGTTAGTGCTTTTATGTTCCCCTAAAGCAGGGGCTTGCAACCTTAAACACTCAATGACCCATTCGGATCCATTTCCCACAGAAAAGAAAACATTGAGAGCCTCAAAACCTTTGTGGGTGTCGACAACTCAACATCACTCCCACCCAGTCACATGACACACAACCCCGCCACGCCTACCCAGGTTTTGTGGCTTCTGGTGTTTTTTGTGGGTCTTTCTCCCTCCCTCCCACCCTCTCATTTCTGTTTTTTGTATTTTACCTTCTCAAGCCAGGCAAGGAGTGACTGGGAAGGGAGGGCAAGGGGTAGGGCCAGCCAGTGGTGGGACCACCCAATAGGGAGCCAGAGCAGAGGGCCCAAAGAGCCGCATGCGGCTCCAGAGCCACAGGTTGCTGACACCTGCCCTAAAGGGTATCCTCTTTTGTGGAAAGACTTTCTTCTGCTTTCTTTACTTACTGCATATATACCTTCTGTTATATATGACACCAGCAGGGTTGAGGAGAGCTGCATCTCTCCTCCTCAGCTGGCCAAATTCCCTTTCCCGAAGGCGGTAAGAGCGGTGGTCAGAAATGGCCACCTCAAAGAAGCACTCAACCAGAAAAGAAAGTGCAGGAGGAAGTTAAGAAGTGAAAGTTTTGGCTGACTGGGATAAAAAGCAACAACTAAGGTATCCTGAAATTTAAATTTTATAAAAGATACATCGCTCCCAAAGAAGAGTCGGAAGCAGCGAATGAAAGTGAAAAGGGAAAGTTTTCTTTTTTCTCTTCACTCTCCTTCCTTACGTTGACAGCGAAGAGAGCTGAATGAGAAATCGGAAAAATCTACTTTGGCACCAATAGGTAACTAAACTGGAAATATAATTAAATGCCAAGGGGACAAGAAAGATTTCTGAACACTTAAAAAATTCTTTTTTTGTTATAAGTGGGAAGGGAGAGGAAAAGAATAAGGGCAAGATTTGGAAGGAGGAGTCTGCCTGGAACTCAAAAGAATCAAAAGTGAAATCTTAATAAGACTTCTAAAAGATACATTTTAACTAGATCTTTGCAACTAAATAGTAACCCCAGGAAGAGAAAGTGAAAAAAGAAGAAAGTGTTAAAAGAAACAGCTTGTGTGTATTTGGACTGCTTGGTGACATTGGAATTTTTGGAAATTATATTTGAATGACTAAAAACAATTGGGTGATTGTTTAAAAAATTCTACAATGGCATCACTTCTGGATGAACTGAAAATGGAATTTAAAAAATATAAAGAAGAGGCACAAGAAGGGAAGGGCTCCTTTGGCTCCGTTTTTCAATTCTTATAAATGACGATCTGCACCTATGAGAAACAACAAGAAAAGACTGCACAACTAGAAGAATGGGACAAAGAAGAAGCCATCTTTAATGAACAAGTAACTCTATCTGGGGAAGAAAGGGGAAAGGGGGGAAAGAGAATGGAGAATTAAAGAAGAATTAAAGAGAATTAAAGAAGACTTAAGAAAACAGCCAAAAAAGGGAAAAATAATGTAAAAAGTGGATATAATGTTGGAAAGCAACAGAAAAGGGGAATAGAGAAGAGGGAAATGGAGGTAGAGAGACAAGGGGGTAAAAAGGGGAGAGAAAAGAAGAAAGGGAAGAAGGAAGGGAAGAGAAGTTACAAAGGTTTGGAGCAAGATGTAAAGAAACAGGACTTATTTAGAGATAATGGGTGAAAGTTTAATTGAAAAAGGGATTCTGTAAAGGTACATAAGATTGTATTGTTATATTTGTATTAGAAAATTGGAAACAACATATGATTAAAAAGTGGGTTAAAATAGTCAGTGTAATTCAGTGAAACTTTTGTGAACAAAATAAATGAAATGAAATAAATGAGAGAATTGAATTAGGAAGGAATGGGAACATTTTAACTACTCAATGTTGTATAAAATATAAGTGAAGTGGGGGGAAGTAACTATGGAAAATTTATAAGTGTTCCCATAGAAGTATGATATTTATTTGAAAAGTAATGTGTAAAATGTTTAAGATTTAAATGAATATTAATATTAATGATAGAATTGAATTGGTATGGATTGTCGTTTTAATTATATTATATATTTATAATTTGTTCTTTTTTTAAAATGCAGTGTGTAGTTTTAGAATGTACCAAGCAGAATCCGAACGGAAGTTATGTATTATATTAAGTGTTATAATTTTAGGGGAAATATATAAAGGCGTCATACTCCAATTAGTGATTACAGGAGAAATTTTGTTTAATGAGAAAAGATAATAGACAGCTGAAACAGGACAGACAAAGAATATAAGTACAATGATTTGAATTGAGATGAAATAAATAAAATAAAATTAAGAAAGTTAAAAGAGGAGAGAAGCTATATAGAAAATGTATAATGGTAATAAGATATGGAATGGTATATAAAAATGAACATGAACTTGAATTTGTGTCTGTACAAAGAGATGTAACCTGGGATCATGGTGCTTTCAAAAAAGATGTTTTATGTTTTTATGTTCTATGTTTTGTTTGTTTATGTTTGTTTTTAAAAATCAATAGAATTAAAAAAAAAAAGATAACAAAACAGAGAATGAAAAGCAAACCATTTGCTGAAATGTCTTTCTAGAATCGAGAACACCTTGAGTAGTCTGCAAAATGCTGACAAATGAATAGGTTATTTATCCCATATGTTGAATTGATTGGCTGAATCTTCACATTTTTTTATTTTCGTTCTCTCACCTTAATGAATTATCTGATTTTGCTAATAGCACCACATAATTAATATTATTGCTAGAGCATCAGTGAATGAAATAAGTGGATTATTTTTGCCTGTTGAAATAATTTGGGATATTCCAGGCTAGGCTCTAAATATTAATTATATCAAAGAAACTTCCACAACTTAGGATCTCTGTTTTGTGGACTTCGATTTCCAGAATATTCAGCAAAAGTCAACTCCCCAGGGTCATTAGGAATCAGGCAGCATATAAATTTTATAAATTTTGTAAATAAATAAACATAAAGAAGCCTTGATGGTATTGCATGTAGTGGATTGATGTTATATCTAGGGGAAGTTTGGATATCTAGTTCACATCTAGAACTACTTTATTGATCACATAAGCCTTAATACTAAAGTAATAAGAACTGAAGAAGGGGAAAAAATCTTGACTCCCTCATAAGCCCAGTAATTTCATGGTGGCAATAGTGTAACTTTTCTTCTAAACTGTACTGGTTTATTACAATATTGGTGAGAGACGGATGGATTAACTGCCTCACCAGTTTTGAGTCTTCTCTGCAGTTCTTTCAAAGTAAGTTAAAAGTTTAGAAGATGGTGTGTCCCTGACTACATCAAGGATACCCTACTTCCTACTCCCAATGTTATCAGCTTTCCATAGAAGTATTAGAAACAAGGACATTTCCACCTTAGAATTTTTTTCCCTGTCAACACAAAAAGATACTACAGTATTTCCTATTGCTGTTCTCAATTGGTAAAATGTCTGTTGTAGGATTACACTCTTATAGATATGAATATTTCATTTTCCAAATTAACAAAATACCAAAATCCTACATCTCATACATATATATATATTTACTGTGAATGTTAAATTCTGTTGAGTTTATCCAATTTTTACTCTTTAGAAAATAGTTTTATTTGAGGAGAAAAGCCATTTATTCCCAAAGATAAAAACAAGACACAAACTACTCACCTCATCTTCAGTAAAGCAGATACTTCCCCTATTTTTTGATAAATTGAGGAATGCCTCTGTTTGATAGAAAACAAAAATATTGTTAGGGTTAGTGTTAGGGTTAGGGTTAGGGTTAGGGTTAGGGGTTAAGGTTAGGGTTAGGGTTAGGGTTAGGGTTAGGGTTAGGGTTAGGGTTAGATTCTGTTACAACTTTGTGCTGTCTCAGGCAGTCTATGGGAATTGGATAGTTACTTAGGAATTATGAGCTGTCCCCTTAAGGGAATGCATCATGGTAAATGTAGTTAAAGGCAATCAGATCGCAACACCTGAGGTCATAAGTAGCATGCCTCACCTACAGCACCAAGCTCATCACTTACCTGCTCTAGATCCAGAGGCTGATATCCTACTCCTGCTGGGATATAATGCCCCACATGCCTTTCTCTTCTCTGAGTCAGTTGGCAGCCCTGTAGATGGCCCAGTGGCCATCAAATCTCCACTAGGATGGGGGATCGTAGGAATTGTCAGTGACGCTCAGATGCAGGCTCTAACCCAGGCAAATGCCTTAGCACCACCCATTCCAACAACCTTCTGATGCCCTTTGGTACCATCAAAAACAAGAATGACGTTCCAGCCTAAAAGGCCGCCGCCGATCAGTACACGTTCGCTAGGACACCCTAAACGACAACCACCAGACATCCAATAAGATGCTTTTCATGGGCATATGCCTCCGCAACACCCTTTCCAACAGCTTCCCGATGCTCTTTGACACCATGGAAGCAAGAGTACTGTTCCAACCCTAAATGGCCACCAGAGTTGACCAGCAGACTTTCACCTTTGCTGCCAAGAGTACCTATACACCCTAAAAGGCCACCAGAGATGACCAGCAGACTTGCACCAAGAGGCCGAACTTGAAGATTGTCCCTCAAGCTTTGCATGCTTTGCTTTGTTTGATGCTTTATTAATGTTTACTGTTTTTCTTAGTTATATAGCTAACTGTTTATCTTAGTTATATAGTTATATGCTATTCAGTTAGTATTACTGTCTACTGATTATCTTAGTTTATAGTTAATTTTTTCCCCTTCTTTTCCTTTAATAGTGGAATTTACAATTCCAGGCAGGGAGTGTGCTGGGAATTGGATAGTTATTTAGGAATTATGAGCTGTCCCCTTAAAGGAATGCATCATGGGAAATGTAGTTAAAGGTATCCTGGGAAATGTAGTTCATGTCACATGGCCACATCTGTAATCCTGATTGGTCACTAAATTGACCCTCGAGGGGTTTGGGGAGGCTTCCCTCATTCTTGCCTGAACTCACTTACTCATAGCAGCTTTTTCTACCGCTATGAGATGGGTTAGGAGATAACCATCTTTTACCTACAAGGCAGATATACAAAGGATTGGTCATAAAAGAAGAACTTCATCACAAACGTGAGTTATGAGGATACCTGATGAACCAATAAATGTTCTTTGTTATGGACATCTTGCATCTGCATCTGTACAGTTTATAAATCCACCTCTGTACAAGATACAGAAAAGCAGCAATGTGGTCATCGCTATCTCCATTCATTAGAAATTATAAACTGGATACATTTGCATCAGCAGAAGCATCCTTTGGAAGAAGAGTGCTACAAAGAGTTCATATGGAGATGGGGGCTCAGGACAAGGAGTTAGCCCACCCTCAGGACAATTAGCTTGGATACATCCCACACTTTGGATTTTCCGACCCGTACAACTGAGAAAGAGCGTTGGGCTTACCTGAAACACATCTTCTAGTTGTACGGGAGGAGAGTCCAAATCCCACCCTTAGATATTTAGTCCTGAGCTCAGAATGGTCAAGAACGAGCACCAAAGAACTCTCCAAGTCAATCATCAGCCTTCATCAAAAACTGGGCATGCACAGTGGAAAGGGGGCTGGACTAAACTTTGATTGACTCCGTCTTTAAGCAAGGAAGCAGGAGACAGCCCACGCTTTGGATTCTCCTCCCGTACAACTAGAAGATGCGTTTCAGGTAAGCCCAATGCTCTTTCCAAATCATGACATGGTCTTTCATTGAAGCCTGTGCTATCTTTGAGGAAACATCCCGCCCCCAAACAACTTCTGAAATTGCATTGAGTCCATTAGTTACCTAGAGTGGTCAGAACAAATAGGGCCAAGGGAAATGATCTGTCCATGTCAAGGGGCGGAAGTTAACATTCTTCAACTCTAGATCATGACACCATTGTGTGATGTGATCCAATATGTGCATTCCCCGTGTGAGTTGGGCTTTACATCACTGGACATGTTTGAAGATGTCATGGGGGCCATGAACTCCTGAGCGACCTCAGATTCCATGCCAAAGAATATTATCTAGCATATTTAGCATAGAGACCTTTTGAGTTACTAGGTGTAAAACTACCAAACAACCTTAAGTAACTTTTCAACATTAGCTATGAAGTAGCATAAGGGGGGAAATAATAAATATCTTGATTATGAGGTCAAGAAAACATCCTTTATTACGTCTGTGCAAGGAAGCATTTACCTCAACAAGGGACTTCAGCTGTAAAAGTAACATGACATGCCTCAGTAACGCAAAGAAGCAATGGATTTTCCTCAACCAGTTATTTTCTAGAGTGTCGTAGCTAAAACACAAGAACACTAATAAGTACTAATACTATTAATAGGTTTGAGCACTGAACAATGAGCAGATCAGCCATCTTGTCTGCAACCCTGGCAGAGCCTTTTCAAGGCACTTTGTAAATCTCACTTTCTAATCACATTTGGAAACTGACTGTTAACCATCTTAAAGCTAGTAGAGACCTTTGAAATGACAAGTTTTTAAAGTTTTCATTGAGTAAATTTATCTTCAACTCTGAACAACACAAAAATTAATTAAGAATTTTAAAACGTTGAAATAAACAGCAAAAGCTAAATAAGCTTTTCATCTAAGAAAGTTATAAATGGATTAATGGTCCAAATAAATTTGGAATATTGACTTATTATAAGATTTTGGAATTAATTATAAACAACTTCTCTTGAGAAATAAATTTAAATTAGACTTAGACTAACTTTATTGTCACTTTGAATATATACTAATTTGCATACATTAAAATGCATACAACTCTCAAAGGGTCACAACCTCCAATATACACTACATAAACATGACTAAATAAATACAAAATTATATTATATGTATATATTACATATATTATATGACACAGAGAAACAGCACAGTCTGGTTCAGATGTATGTTCGGATGCAAGAAAAATGAATCTTGCGAGTTTACCAGATGGATGGCATCAGGAACAAAGTTGTAACAGAATCTGGTAGCCCTGCTAGAAATAGAAATTTATCTACCCTGGCTATCATAAGTCATAACAAAAATAAATGATGGCTTGAGAAACTGGATAATAGAGAGTACCAAAGATTCTAAGTCAATTTTTTTAAAAAAAGACAGTTCTTAATGTCAGTTAATACTGGGACTTACAAAATGGCACAAAATGTTATAATACCAAAATTCTTAAAGGAGATTTTTGAAGAATGGACTCAGGACTTATTAACTATAATGTTATCAACACTGTCAGTAATGATGTCTTCTTCTATGAATAAACTATGTCTAAAAGATGTTAATGAAGATGTGAAACAAATGTTACTTGATCATAGAGATAAGAGAAAGAAGCAAAAATGGAACTACAAAGTCTAAGAAAATGGTTTTTAAAAGGACACTTTACTAGTTATTCAAAAGGAACTGGCTGTAATTTTATAAAATTAAAGAGAAATAAACTAAGAGAATAATCTGGAAAATATTTTCCTATTACAACTAAAAAAGAGGCTTGTGAAAACCTTGGAGAAATATGTGCCTTGGGATAAAGAAAATGGAAGAGAAATAAAATTCTGTTATAAAGGGTTGGTCAAATTAAAGATTAAGACTGTTAAAAGTAAAAGGAAGCAATGTAAATTTGGTCTATTTAAAATAAGATTTTTTTCAAAGTTCTGGCAGTCTTTTATGCACTCTGTGCTGACCCCAGGATCAAAAAGTTGATGTTTTATGAATTTGTTTATAGATTAGTGATGAAGAGATGAAGTGATATCTATATGTATGTAACTTTATGAGGGAGGAGTTATTGTTTATACTTCTTGTGGTAAAGGTTGGAAGTCAATACTTTATTTTTTTTTTATATTATTACTTTTCTTTTTCTTGTTTCCTGGACTTTCATTTTTTTATTCTTTTCCCTTTGTATAGTTTGTGTTAGTTTTTACTATTATAATTAGAATTACAATAATTAAAATTCTTCATAAAAAGTTTCTTAATCAAAAATCAAATGATGACAATAAATAATGAGTTCAGTTACAATCTGATGAGAACAAGATATTTATACCAAGTATTAGGTTTAAGAACACAGTTTCCTTGTGTTTGGGATGTTGTCCTTTTCTCTGATGTATGTACCATCAGAACCAATCTATATATGCAAAACCAAGACATAATTCACAACATCAAAGTAAATTCCAGAAGCAAAGCCATACTCCAAGGGAAGAGGAAAATCACATGCATAAATGGCTGACTTGGTTCTTTTAGCATCAACCTGAACATGCACTGACTTTAAAAGATACATTATTTCAGTCACATTATTTATATTTTTCTTGGTTCTAATTAAACTGCTCTAAACTGGCTTCAGTTAAGCTGCTTAAAAAGGTTAGCCAAGAATTCTCAGAACAAAATTGCTGTAGTCTTAATGGTGTTTCCTCCATTTACTACAAATGATAAAGGAGGAGATTATTTTGATTTAGGTATTATTAGCATGATTATACAGGGAAGAAAAGCCTATTTATTTATTTGATTGTTTGTTTGTTTGTTTGTTTATTTGTTCTCAATTTAGGTTACTGGTATACTGTCTTTTTCTTCCCAATTAGCTCAATGATCTTTTCCTGAGAAAGCCTCACAGGCAGCGTATAATGCACTTTAAACTTTCAGTAAAATAATAACTGAAAAGAATTAGTAGATGTTAGGAGCTTAGCTTGGAAGTGTGAATATTTTTTCAGTAGTTTTTGAAAGACTCCCCCCCCCCCACTGGCAATCAAAGGCACTTTCATTTAAATACATATCCTTTCAAGTGAGGATGTTTTAACATCCATGAGATGAAAAAATTAAGAAAATGCCCTATAATGTATTTTGTAGCCTGTGATTTTAAAAAATGAGGTTTTTTTTCTGAATGGATTTTTTTAGCAGTTTTACCTAGTAAAAATCCAGTCTAAGGAAAAGATCAAAGATAGGATAATGAAATAGCACAGATGCAACATCAGCTCTCCTTTTGCCCTGTTTTTCCAATTCATCAAAACAACTTTTGATAACCAGGACAAAAGCTTATCTTGGCTCATCATTCTGTGACCCAGTAGCCAACCAGACAGAAGCTTATAAATTGGATATGTGAGTGATCTCTTGTACTTCAACCGCTGGTATTTAAAGGATTGCTGCTTATGATTCTGTAGCCATCAAAAATTAATTCAAGAGTGAAAACCAGATAATAGGAAACACATGAAAATCATTTAATGTATGTATGAGAGCTAATGTGGTATAGTTGATGAGACTGGAGAGACTCAAGGTGAAGTTTGCCTTCAACATAGATGCTCACAAGTTGACCATTTTCACTCAGCCCAGCCTACCTCCTGAAACTAGTAGAGAGAGAAATATTTACTACCTTGAACTCTTGGAGGACAAACCTACCAACCAAACACTGCTAGTTTTATTTCATACAGCTAAATACAGATTAAGAATCTACACATGATTGTAAAGTACAGATCAAAACTCCAACGTAACACTTTAATATCTGTTGGGACTATGCAAGTACAAATTTGAAAGCATGCAAACGATTAGGAGGTAGTTTTAGACAAAAATAAAAGCTTGGTACTTTTACCACACAATTTGTTTTAAAGGTAATCAAAATGTTACAAGGATGTATTTCATTGCTCTTTATTTGAAAAGAACAGTATAATTATTGTGCCAAAAATATTCTACATATTTTTTTTTACTGTTGATCATTTAAACTGAAGGGGAAAAAAAGTTACTTTCTTTGTCCCCTCCCATAGAGAAAAAGATTAACTTTGGTGAAATTCCTATCAGAAGAGTGTGGTGTTCTTGCATTTATCTAGTGGCAAAGTACACAGTGTTTGTGTGTGCAAGCATGTGTGTGTGTGTGTCCATCTGCATGCAGATGTACATGCTCAGTTTACATTTGTCTCTCCAGCTCTTTCCCATGCTTCAATTAGGAAACCATCATGAGGGACTAATTCCCATACCGGTTTGTGTATATTAGCCAATGGAGGCTTCTGATTGATGGAAACAGATATTGCAAAATAAATATCACCAGCACTATTACTTTGCAACAGTAAATACACCCATGAGCTTCAATAAAAAAACTTCTAAAACAACTGGTACTTATACCTCCATAACTTTAGTTTAAATAAGAATATTTCATCTGAGTAAGTCAGATATCCACAAGATTTTCCTTCAGTTTTGGGATAGATGGAAAACACATTCTTAGCTCAGACTGTATGCTGTGATTATTTACATTTTTGGGTGGCTTTTCAGGTGTGAGGCTTTGGACTGTCACATTGTAGCAATGTTTCCTTCTTGAGTTTTGAGCTCTGCTTAATCAAACCTTAATTCAAATCAAAATTTTGAATCAGTGTTTACAAAGTTTACAAGATGGCACTCTGAATTCACAGTGTGCCACTTTCAAGGAAATTTGCGTGGATAACACCATCTGCATCCCTGTAAACTGTAACTATAGGTTTTCTAGCTGAAACCTGGATTTTTTTTAAATGAAGCAGTATATTAATATATATAGTCCATATATTAATGGACTAATGCTTTATTTTGTCAGTTCCCTCACCTTCATTTTTGTAGTATGACAGTGGCTGCCAATTCAACTCTTAAAGCTTTCATCTGTTCTATCAGTATGCAGAGTTCATTTTGCACATAAAAATCCAGTGCTGAAGAACATCAATAATGTAACTCATATTTTCCTGTGAAATGCCAAGCTCGACACCAATTTCTTCACTGATTGTCCTTAATCAGTTCATCAACTTTTCACATGTAAAACTTACCAGTTGTTGTCACAAGCTGTTCACTTCATTCTCAGCAACATAAAGCGTCTCTTTTTAGTTCCTCTTTACATTTTTTGGCCCAGCAGTTCCCAGTACTCATATCAAACATAGTTATGACCATAAACTACTAATCATACTTCGGCAGTAAAGCATTCAGTCACAGCATATTGCTTGAAATGGACTGACTTCATGCTTTTATTCCATAAACAATAAGTGACTGTGGAAATTCTCATCTTCCAGCCAGGTAATAGTTGTCTCAAAAGTGCTTTTTCAAAAGGTAACTGGACTGTCTTCTTCTCCCTCAAGGAAAAAAAAAACCAGTCCAGTTGCCTTTTGAAAAAGTTCCTTTGAGTTCACAAACAGTAGCAACACAAACTTTATTTTATTTATTTATCAAATTTAGAAACCCCCCATCTCCCTCACACAGAGACCCTGGATGATGTACAAATAAAATGTTAAAAACATATAAATGTTAAAAATATAAAAACTGGGTATAAAAAAATTTAAAATATGATAAGAATAGTTAAAAAGTGATATTAACTGATTATATTGATCTTTCACCTAAATAAATATCATAATACTATTCAAGTTCAATTTGGTAAGGAGACCAATTACTAAAGATATATTTTTTCACAATTGTAACTTTCCACCAACTGCAGTAAAAGAACACATATAAGGTTCCAGCACATGAGTATTACCATCGGTTGGCAACTTATATAATTGGAGATGTTACATTTCATTCAACCCTATTATTTGCGTTCTGTTTTCAGGTGAATCCAAGAAAAATGCATTTTCCGATCCTGAAAATCTTTGGTTAATTTGATATTACAGGTAGTCCTTGCTTAACAGTATTAATTGGGACTGGAATTTTCATATTGAAGCAAAGAGGTCATTGGGGAAAACATTGTGTGACTGCACTGCTTAGCAACAACACTTCAAGTAGTCCTGGTTGTGGTTGTTAGGCAAGGATTCACACATCTCCTGGTTTGATAGAATGTGTAGATGACCTTGGGGATTGAGGGGAAGAGATGCTGTCTAGAAAACAATGGGATAAAAGAGCCCTCACTGGCTCAATATGTCAGACAAAGAAACTTAGGAATGACCTGCTCTAATGGATCAAGCAGTTAAAAGCGGAGATGGAAAATCTGTACTTTCAGACATGCAAGATTCTCTTAATGTTGCTTCACAATAAAGTAAAATTAATTCATCTAATGTCTCTTGTCTGGTTTATCAGGGATGTCTGGCACCTGTCCTGCATGAACTGTTGGCTCCATCTTGCTACCTCTTCCTAAGCTGGCTTTGGAAGCTCCCTTTCGCAGATGATGGTATGCCACTCTGTACTCATCACTTCAACACCCCCCCCCCAATGTAACCTCTCATCTCTGCCCTTCATATAGGATATCTTTTCCTTTTAAATAGTTTGGAATACAAAGGGTATTATTCCTAGCACAGGATAAGTAGAGAGTGAACAATCAGAAAATAGATTCCCATTCAAGGTGAAATCTTTTACACATGCTTTATTGCAGGACCACTTTATTTTGCTGCTGCTCAGTGCATCAAATACCTGCTGAGTGTACCACTTACTTGACATTGTTTCAAGACGAAACATACAGCACACAAAATCAGGAAAGTTTATTCTCTGGGTTGAGTCTCCATAGCGTAAAACCAGGAGGTGGAGGACTTTATCGCTGACATACAGGCCTACAAGCAACCATAGAAGAAAACCATATGTTGTCAAATTGACACAGTATAACAATGCTCAGCAGCTGTAAAGATCTGCTACTCGTATCATTTCATGCAGAACAACTTATTATATCAACATTGTTTGAAACAGCTAACAAATTGGAAATAAATCTGTATGTGTGATTGGGCATTGCACCAAATTACAACATAAACTACTGGTGTTAGATGATCTCAGTGAAGTTACTCCTACATCCATGGTAATGGATGTGCAGAAGGAAATAAATAGCAGACGGAAAAGGATTGACAATACTTCTGTAAAGGCAATTCTGAAAGAGGCTAAGCTAAAGCTGGATTTCCTTCCTGGCTTGCTTGCTTGCTTCCTTTCTTCCTTCTCCTCCTTCCCATCTCTTTTCTTTCTTCCTTCCTTCACTAATGAAGTGGGAGTGGGGGCCAGCCAGTGGTGGGATTAGCCGGTTCACTGAACTGGGCAGAGTTTTAACAAGCAGTTCACTTGAACCGGTCTGAATCGGATGAATCCTACTTCTGCATCAGACCAACAATCAAGTAAACAATACCCCAATGAAGAAACTGCCAAAGAAGCTAACAACAAACAGCCCAATCGAAGAATCTCTAAAACCACCCCCATCAACACTCACAGACAAGCCACCAGAATATAAACTGTCAGCAAACTGCACTCCTTAGTAGCACTGATGATGTTACCTAGTTTGGGTAATGAATGTCTACAAGAAAACAAGCAAGCTCAAAGAGTACTAAAGACCCCTCATGTCAACCCTGAGCATCAAATATTCTCCTTTATTAGTATCCTCTTGTTGCTGATATTTTACTAGTAACTCCAAAATTCAGGTTACTTGCATAATTGGCTTGTCCTGTATATCTTTCACCATATCTTGTTTCACTGGTGTTAAAATCTATTACTGTACTAGAACAGTAATACTGCAGCAAGGTGATTTAAACATACCCATTTGAAACTAAACGTAGTAGTATTACACCCTGTGTTGGGACTTACAGTAGATGGGAAAGAGCCAATAAAAGATTGTTTTTAAAACTTAAGAATGTCTGTTCTTCAAGAGATCACTTAATTATTTCTTGAAGAAAAGGAAAAAATAATGGAGGAGTTCATTGCACCTTAAAAACATTTCTTTCATTTCTGTAGGAGTAAAACAGTTCATGGACGAATTGTTCAAAATAAGAAATCCATCCATTACAATTGGAGTTGCTCCCTTTGTCTTTTTTCATGAAACCTGAGTAGCTGCAATGAAGAGAAATCTATTTACTGAAGCATCTACCATTCTTGCTTCTAAAAACTTTACCATGACACTATGGCTTTATTTTTTGGAATTAATAATACATTTAGTTATCCACCGGGTAAAGATCAAATTTCAACCTGACTCTAGTTCAGGTTGAATCATCATTATTTTGATGATTCAAGTGTGTTAATTAACCTTGGGGTGTAAATAAATCCACCATACATTCCTCTTGGGCCAGATTTAGTTTTTTTTTCCTCAGAGGAATTTAGGATTGAGCAAACAACAGAACACCAAAATTAAGAAAGAATGGAATTGTTTAATTACTTTTAAAATGTATTTTAAAATGTATTTTTAAAGAAGACTCTCTCTTTCAGTTTGTTTTATTTTTTTAAACCTCTGGCTTTCTTTAAGTAGGTAGGCTGTTGATAGCTTTATTCCATTCTTTGTTTTTCTTGGGCTTCTGGGAAGTAGAATGTTTTTTTAAAAGTGCTATCCTAATCTGAACTAATGCAGCCTGACATGTGTGCATGCATGCGCACAAGCGCGCGCACACACACACACACACACACACACACAAAGATCTGCACATTCCTAATTTGTAGAAAAATAAAAAAAAAATGCTTTCATTAGTGAATTTTACCAGAAGCGGGGCTGGGTGTGATGAGAGTGATGTCAAGTTGGCCACGCTCACTCAGTCACATGACGACCTGACCATGCCTACCAAGCTAGTCATTAGGGCAGAGAACCTGTTGTTAAATTATTTGAATCCCACCACTGATAACCTTGGAGTTAATCTATGCTGATCTGGTGCTGATTGCTGGTGGAGAGGTGCTTGGGTCTTTTTGCTCCTTTTGGGTCTGGGTATTCATCTTTTCTGCATAGCTAATAGATGTTGTTAATGCCTATGTGTATATTGATGGCTGAATTGTCAGAGTGCCAGGTGTTGAGGTAATTCCCCGTTAGGAGAATGAACGCATACAGGGAGACATATTTGAGAGTAGTGTTTGAATAATACACATACAGCACACAGATACACGGTACAGTAAATGTAGGTTTTTACTTCCAGACAGTTTAAGCAAAGTTCAAGATAAGCAGTCCAAAAGTCATTCACAGGTTAAATCAGTCAGTTTTCAATCCAGGGATAATTCAATAACAAAGTCCAGTGTCAAAAAACAGTTCAGTATCAGACTTACATTAAATCCAGAAATAGCAGTCAATTAGGAAAAATGGAGGAACGGCAACACTTTCCAACAGAAGGAAACAGAGATACTCACTCAGACACACTCTCTTCTGACACTAAGACTGAAACAACCCAGGTTTCTGGCTCCATCTTATGGCCGTTTGAGAAACCACATCTAATTACAGTTTTGCATTTTCTTGAAGATACAGTTTTAAAATGTTTATCCTGGTTTATATATTTCTAACCCAAATACCTGTTAGGTGACTTATATTCCTAACACCAGGCTTCTAGAAATTCCCTGGCATTTTTGGACTTGGCTTGGTCTAGGATGGTCACATTTTCCCAATTGAAACTATGGTTAAATCTTTCTCTGTGTTGTGAAATTAAAGAATCTTCATCATGTCTTCTGACTGCTAGTTGGTGTTTGTGGATACATTCTGCCAATCTTCTGCCTTTTTGTCCTACATAGTGGTTGTTGCAGTCCTTACGTTGTATTTTGTAGATGACTCCTGTTTTTTCTTCTGAGGTTGTTGGTCTGCTTAGGATATTTTGAAGGGTTTTAGTTGACTTATGTCCTATGCTGATTCCATATGGGTATTGTTCTGTACGATTCATTAACATTCTTGTAAACACCCATTCTGATTGGCTAAGACGCGCAGCGATCCGATTGGCCGAACGAGCCGCGCTGATTGGCCCGCGGAGAATCTCCCGCGATTGGAGGAAACCGATCGCGGGAGATTCAAAGCGGTGTCATTGGCCGCAGCTTGGCCGGCTAGTTCTATAAAAGCCGCTGCATGCCCTAGCCACACCGAGTCGATCTCGGGACCAAATAAAGAGCTGAAACTGACTCCCGAGACTTCTTCCGAATGGCGAACTTAACACTGGTGACGAGGGTGGGATTGCGGAACTGATACCCACTGAGCACGTGGCACCGAGAACAAAAGATCGGCAAGATGGCCAGCCTCGCACCGCCCGCACCGCCCGCACCCTTTAACCAAGCTACTGAGGACTGGGAATCGTACATTGATTGGTTCCTGATGTTCCTCGAGAGTAGCAATCTCAAGGATGCAAACAGGCAGAAAAAAAGGGCCATTTTCCTGACACACTGCGGGCCCGCAGTGTTTAAAATGGCAAAAGCCCTCGCAAGACCAGAGGATGTGAAGGCGATGGACTGGGCCGATCTCGAGCCACTGTTACGAAGCCACTATGCCCCCGCCGTGCCCACCCTCATCAGGCGGCACGACTTCTACAGGCGAGACCAGAAGCCGGGAGAGAGCATTAGCGACTTCGTGGCAGACCTGCGAAATCTGGGAGGCATGTGTGGCTTCACAGACATGGACGAGGCATTACGAGACCGCGTCGTCCTCAGGCTCCGAGACCCAGTCCTACAAAGCCGGCTGATGGCAAAGGGTGACATCTCCCTCACTGATGCCCTCGCCGAGGCCACCGCAGCCGAGGCGACCCGAAAATCAGCGGTCCGAATGCGGAGACCCGACACCAGGGACCGAACCACAGCTTCCGAGGTGACCCCGATGGCTGAGGCGCATCCAGAAGCAAGCCGCTGAGCGACCACCACACACCATGGCGACCTCGACTCCACCTCTGACACCATGGACGAAGAGGAGGACATCCATCGACTCCAGACAGAACGAGACCGGCACGAACGGCGGAGTCGCAAGTTGGGACTCCAATGTGCTGGGTGCGGGGGCGACCATCCTCGATCGGAGTGCTGATTTTTTGACGCGACCTGCCGGCAATGCAACAAGAGAGGCCACATCGCCCAAGTCTGCCGGTTCAAGAAAGCCTACATCCCCCAATGACGAGACAGCAGCGGCCGGAGACGGGACAGCACCCCCCCCCCCCCGGGAAAAGGGACCGCCAAACCGAGCATCGCTGGAACTGGGACGGACGGGACTGGAGGAACGGCGAGAACCGACAGAGAGAGGAAACCCACCAGACGGTCATCATCGGCCATTCTTCCAGCACGGACGCCCGAAAGGTATACGTGGAAGTGGGCATCGAGGGCAAGCCATGCAAAATGGAGGTGGACTCCGGGTCCTACCTCTCCATGGTTGCATGGCGGGAAATCAAGCGCCTGGTGCCCGCCATCCACAAGAAGGGTCTGGAGAGCCAGAAGTTAATCCTAAAGGACTACCAAGGTAACCGCATCCCCGTAGTCGGAACAGGACAGTTTGAAGTCACATTCAAAGGGTGCACAGCAAGACTTCCCCTGACCGTCGTGGACCGAGACCGACCCAGCCTATTGGGACTACAGTGGTTCGCGCCACTCGGGATCGAAGTAACGGGAATCGACCACATCGCAGAGGCGGATTGGGAGGAGCAACTCGCAAAGGACTTCCAGGAAGTGTTCGACAGCACCCTAGGCAAGTACCGAGGGCCCCCTATTTCATTCAGCCTAGACCCCAGCGTTCCCCCGATACACCTAAAGCCACGGCGGGTACCCTTCGCACTCCACCCAAAGATCGATGAGCAGTTAGACAAACTCATCAAACAAGGGGTCCTAGAGCCAACCGACCATGCCCGGTGGGAGACCCCCATAGTCACCCCAG